AAGGCATGAACCAAGATCGTAAACAAGTCATTCGTATAACAATGTCTTCTCACTAGATATTCAAATAGAGAACTGACACATAAGAGAGAGAGAGAGAGAGAGAGAGAGAGAGAGTGAAGAAGAGTATATGCCCACACCTTGTTCTATTGAAGCTTTATGACCAGCAGATCCTTTTCTTTTGCTTTTAGGATCAGAGCGTGCAATGCTCAATTTCTTCCCAAGAAACATTTGCTTATTCTTAGCCACAGCTGCCTCAAGGTGTGCATCATCAGAGAAGTCCACGTATGCTAGTCCCTTCATATAAATAACAAGGAGAAGTGTAATAATCCAATTAATACGACATATAATATGGAGTGTGGTCAAGTACAATATTCAAATGAGAACCATCAATCTTTGTTTGACAAATTTACCTCTTACTGGACCTCTAGGATTTGAACTAAAACCAATTTGAAAATAATGGAGCTAGTCATGATCATATATACACATCAACTATCAACAGTCTCGATATGCTCCCATAGTAGCAGCCCCAAGGCTTTCATGTGTAGCAAAACCCATGGCTTAGACGTGGATATATCGGTTTGGTGGCGCATACCATGCACGTGGGTCAATGGGTCAGCACATGAAAATAACATGCTCTGATACCCATAATAAACCGCTAGGCTTCCAACTCAACCAATGTCACAATAGTGGAGTAACCCATGATCATATACAACATAGTTTGCATACCCTGACCAGGGGACAACAATCTCAACACCTCAGTATGAAGATACAGTATTATAAAATTAGTAGGCAACCCTGCTTGTCTGACTTTTACTTCATTTCTTCATTCAGGTCAGCTCTATCATGAATTAGTCAAGCTAATAAAAATGCATTACACTTGTCTTTTTTTCGAAGTGAATGCAGTTGCATACGTGAATGATCAATGTATTTGTGAGCCCAGTTAGCTAAAAGCAAGACGACTAGAATAGAAAGATCAAAGGGTCCACAAGCAGAATGATAGATACAAACAAAAACATCACCAACAGAGGCACTTGTAACCTTGCTCATCATCTTGACAATGAAAATACCAACAATAATTAGGGAATGAGAACTTCTATCAACTAGGTTTTCTATCACTTAATACAGACAAACATTTCTAACACCCTCCAAAGCAGATAAAATAGATACCCCGATAAGAAATGTCACTAGAAGCAAGAGCTTTCTGAAAGATTGATTACTATGATTAGAATGTTTTAATTAAAAAATGCCACCAGTTAACTATAGTTCAGAAACTTCTACATGTCAGGTACAAATAATTTTTGTTTATATTTGACAGGACCGACGGGATAAACATGACAGAAAACATGAGTTGCAGGAAATGCTTAGATGTTTACATATCATATAAAGAGACAGCTGAAAATATAATGTGTTATTAAATAGCTAATAACAAGCAACTTTATAAGTTATCAAATATCCATGCCCCAAAAAGTTCGCAATTTGTAATGTCAAAACCAAAAGAACAAGCACACATTTTTGGTGTTTCCCCACTACGAATATTTTTCCTCGAGTGTAACTTATAAACAAGGTTCTAAATGACGTGAGACGTGGCGGTGAGGTCAAGTCTCAAGCCTTACGAGTTACAGCAAGGCCACGGTATTTTTTAAGGCGTGTCCTAAGGCAGCACACACACACATATACACACACACACGCCCTCCGTTGTATGTGTCAGTGTTCTGAATAACACTTTCTAACAAATTAGATTCATATAAAGTAACAAGACCAAAAGGAAAGAACCACTGATACCAAATATATAGAGCTTATAGAAAATTATACCAAGAGTGTAAAATCGAGATTAAACCTCTAGTCACTACTTTTTTCAATTTCCAAAGGATTCATGTTCGACTTTTCGTGTGCATAAATGTGAGTAAATATTCACCTATTTAAGGTTTTAGTTTTTAAGTTCTCTTTTTATGTTTGTTTAAGTCCTAGTCTCATACATAATTATCATTTATCGCTCAAACTATATATTAAAGTAGCCCCACACCTTACACAATAAGAGGTTGTAACATGCCATAACGTGTTGTAACAAGCCATAATGCGTTATAGTACAAGTCAAGCCTTAGAGTGGAGCCATGGGGGTTAACGCAGCGGCGAACCCAAGCCTTGAAGCCATAACACGCCATAACGAGGCCATAACGAGTTATTTAGAAGCATGCTTATAAAGCAATAATATTAGACGATCTTTTCAGAAGGGCGTACCATCAGAAAGAATAAAGATTGATAGGATGAAAAAATTCTTGTAATCTTTTAAGCATGTTGCAATACCAAACAATTTGTAAAATATGTGCTGAGAGAATGTGGGTTATGCACAAGAGAGAGAAAGAGACCCTTGATTTTTTTGTGAACTTGTCCATCAATATTCGAATAGCTTCAACGCCACCAACATCACTGAAGAAACTACGTAGGTCCTCAGAATTTGCCTGCAAATGTCAAGATTACCTCGCTAATCCCAAATAAAAAAAATTAACTAAATGTCCTTCAGGAGCACAGAATGTTAATAAAAGTATAAGCAGAGATTTTGCCTTCAGATTAAGATTTGATACAAAGGCAGTGCATTGGTCTCTGTATTGCTTGGATCTCTCAGGTGTGGGGTCTTTGGTTTTCAGGTCATCTTGGCCATGAGGCATATCTTTTGGAGTAACAATATTTTCCACTTTATTTGCTTTAACTGAACTTTGAGGTTTATCCTTTTGATGCCCTATGGCATTCTTTTGCCGCTTTGCTGGTGACTGTTCATTAGGTGCATCTGAAGCAGACTTTCTCTTTTCACGTGTACTTTTCTTTACAGAATCCTCCTTGTGATCTGCTGATGAAGCAATATTTTTGCTCTCTTGCTGTAACCTAAAAAGCTGTAGCTCCTGCACCCGAGGAGCCACCTGGAATAACAGAATCAGTGCATCAGAAACAAGGTCACACCAGACCACTTGCATGAGAAAGTGCATCAAATACAAGATCACATCTGACTTCTTAGATAGAAGTGTATGAGGAAGATAAAAAAATAAGAACCAAGTCAATGGATACACAATGTTTATACAAATCCAGAACTGAACCAGAGGTCCAGGATGATACTCCACACAAACATGACAATTAAATTGAAAAACTATAAAGAATTCAGCTGGAAAAATTTTATCTGACATTCATATGCCAATACAAAACAACACGCGTCCTTTGGTTAAATGACCTCCTGACAGCGTTTTGTTAACTCCACGACCTTTTGACAAGATAACAAAAGAATGCCACTTCTACACACCAGAACGCCTAGAAACCTATCAGCAGGTCATAGATTTAAAAATAATTTGTCAGGAGGTCATTTAGCTTAATAACCTTGTAAAACACACACCCCAGCAGCAAGGTTTCAGATAGAAGCTTGTTTTCTCCTGAAACCATATGAAGGCATTGCTTTGGCCATAAACTAGCATACTTGATAATTCTGATGGGAAAAGGCTCAAATTGCCAAAACAAGAGTTAACTCATTCACATCAGTTATACGTGAAGCTTATCAATCTCTCGATTTGGGTCATGTTGATTCACATACCGACATTTAACGGTTTTACTAGTCTTCAATCAAATAAATTAGTTTCATAACTGTGATATGTATTATGTTAAAAGAGTGATGTCTTCATGTATAAGAAATTTTTAGGGTTGTTATAACTCTATGTGCCCCAACTAGAGTAAGTCATTCCAACAAGCATCCATAAAAAAGAACCTGGTCAGTCCATACATCTGAAACACCACTAGCATTTAAAATTTAAAATTAACAACAAATGGGGGGAGAGAGAGAGAGGGAATGATACAACAAAAGATAAAACTAAACAATATTGAAATTGGCATATACCATTATAGTTGCCTACAGGATAAGTACCTTCTGTGAAGCATGATCAAAATCTTCCAGTGTACCAAATTCCCTCTCAAACCTAATCCATAAGTTGCATATGTCCTGAATGAAATTGCTGTTAGGATAGAAAGGCATAATGTAATTCAAAAGGAACTATAGAATAGATACTCTCTAGTAAAAAAATCCAAACTACCAACAATGCATGAAATAATCATCTTCGATAGTTTCCCATCAAACAATGCAATCATGAAAAAAATTGTTAACTTGTCACCCATCCCTATATGGGATCTCTTAGATATAATCAAATTTATGCATAGGAGCTTTTCATAAATTACTGAAAAGTGAAACTGCCACTTGACACACAAAAGCACCTTATTTTGCTGACTACTATAACACCTCTTTTTTCTTGCTTGTCTCTAACTTGACAATAATAAATTAATCTAGACATTTCCAATTTTATATAGGTATGGTTGCCTATTTCCCCTTTTAGCCTTATGAACCTAATTGTGCCTCACACATACATTAGCTAGTGTCCTTGTGAATTACAGTGAGAACCCAGGACTTAAATTTAGCAACACATGACCAAAATCAAGCAAATTTTGGGGTTTAAGAGCAAAACTGATTTCATATGAACTTCCCTCTATTTTATTCCTTCGGTATATGTTTGGTTAAGAATAGACAGTTGAACCTCGATATATATATATATATATATATATATATATATATAAATAGGTTAGAAGCAAAAAGGTAAGGAACCAAAGACAGATAATGCTCTGTAATACAACAAAAAAAAGATGTACCTCAGAGCCTGTCCCAGAAAACCTTTTACTATAGCATCGTTTATACAAAGATCTAGCTTCATTTATGTGCCCCATCTCAGTTTCCATTGATATATAGCCTTGCCAGGCTTCTAACATAGACCCACTACAAAATAAAAGGTTCGCCAGAAACATCATTAGCATGGAAGAGAATAAGAACAAAAAGTTCATACTGACTTTATAAAAAAAAGAACTCCGAACCTGTTCTTAAGCAAACTCTCCCATACTCCACGAGCTGCAGTTATATCATTCCCAATACTAGACTCCAGGCGGGCCCAGTATCTATGTATTTGCAACAAACTGTACGTGTTCTTTAACTGTGGTGACAAATAATCACATGCCCTCTGGATAGACCATAAACTATGTTACACATGCAATCGTAGTGATAGTAGTAGCTATGCCAATAAGCCAAAGTTAGACTATAGTCAGTACTAGTTGAAAAGGGTATGCTGGGAATTTAAACAGATACCTTCCTAGTGGAGGGTTGGGGATAATTTATTGGACTTCATCATAGTGTGAGGGGAAATCTATTAAAAGGGAGCATACAAAAGAGAGAAAGGGAGCATGGGAAGTCATCAGCTTTGTAAACACAGAAAAGGGAAGGAGCCTTGGGAGATCACAACCTCACGAAATGCTGTACCTCTTTATCATTTGATTAAGAGTAGACAATTATATGAAATCTTTTGATACTGCTATTAGAATGATGAATGTACATCAAGTGGTATCAGAGCAGTCGATCCTAGAGGTGACCCAGGCATGCTCGTTATTGTTAACTAAATGATGGAAAGGTTAACAGAGATGCATTCTGCTTTGGACGTAACCAAGGGCATCTAGAAGAAGATGTTAGCTCGTATTGAACCAATGGAAGAGGAGAATAATAAAGAAAATGGAGATTCAATCAATTATTGTGAAAGCGATTCAAGTTGGTTCGGCTATGGAATGCATCCGGATCTTTTTCAGCCAGGTTTCCAATCCACAAAGGGCGCGGATCTCTCCAATCGAAACCCGAAACTGTCGAGAAATAAATCCTAACTGCATGAAATTTCTGCATCTACTTGATTCTTTCTGGATATCAAGCGTATTAGGTGTGACTCAGGAGATCCCGAGTACGATGGTGTGTCAGGATCTTGACTATGTGTTTCCACCTTCCAGTAAGATGCAAAATGGTGAAAATACAGAAAGAAGGAAGAAGAGAGAGCATAGAGAAAAAGGAAATTGATTCCAAAGAGGAATGGTTGGGTTAGGCCAAAACCATCAAATTCTCGACAGACTTCGCATCGTTGATGGCGTATGGGATAGATAAGTTGAGTGATGATCATTGGAAACCGCTACCACCGCCGCCAGGACTGTCTTCACTGTTGTCACTGTTCTCACCACCGTACTCACTATCGCCAACAACGTCCTCACAACATCGTTGTCAGCCCTAAAACAGGGAGAATTCATGAAGAATATGGAGGGAAATTTAGAGTTTATGGACAGTGGTGGAGCCACAGATGGGGAACCAAAAATCAAGGTGCACTGAAATCCTGTAGTAGGATTAATTAGTCGGAAAAATGAAGTTACTGTGCACTATTGAGGGGCTTAGTGTAGTGGTATTCATTGATATTGGTGCCACCTACAATTTTATTTCTAAAAAGTTGGTTGAAAACAAAATAGGTGAAGTCTGTCTACCTCAAACTGTCAACTACTTGGATTTGCACTCATCTTTTTAATAATCGTGGTTGTATGTCCTCAGGACTTGGTCTGGATAGCCCCCCAACTACTAGCATGGTTATAACAGGAGTTGATGTTTTGATCAAAGAAGGAGATACATTAGAAAGGACCTTCAAGAGACAATATGTGTGATATTGGATAAAACCAGGCTCTAACTCAGAATAAAGCCACAATTACCACAATTACCTTCGAGTTTGCCGCTTGTACTGAGAATATCAGTAAACATCCAATGGCAAAATGAATACCGGAATACGCTAGGACTTTCTGTTTTTTCGGGGATCCTATTGTAACCAAAGATTCAAAATTTGAAAGCAATGAGTCCACAACGAGTAGATGGTTTCTTGATACGCTGGATTTCCGTGCGATTCCCAGAAAAGGCATCGGGTCTGACATCAATCAGAAGCAAATTTTGGTTGGAAACAGAAGTGTTCTGGTTCAGAAAGAGGTTACCATCCCAACCGATATTGAAAGGTTTTTGGTCGGTCTAGAAGATAATGCAAAGATGGGCGTACCTGTGGGCATATGATTCTGAACTAATTGGTACTCCGGAAGTTACATATCCTCTAAAGAGAGAAATGACTATCATCATGGAAGGACTTTCCAAAATGGATGTCCAGTCCATCATGTTGCAAATGAGGCCGTCACTCAAGATGTAAGGGCTGTAATGCTGGGTCTGTTGGAATTTGTTTTGAAAGGAAATGGTAGTTTGTTGGCTAAACATCAGACGGAGGTCAGGGACTTCATGGGATGGTGCAAGGATGGAGTTAATAGAGTCCTAAGGGAAAAAAAAGTGATAAGTCTCCAATTTTCAGTTCCAGTAGTGCATCAGTTTGTTTGTTTTTTCCACCTTGAGGACAAGGTGAATGTTGGGGGCGGGGTAATGTTACAGATGCAAAGGTAATGATAGTTAGTAAGTTATAGTTAGACTATAGTCGGGTATTAACTAGATACCTTCCCAGCAGAGGGATTGGGACAGTTTGTTGGACTTCATCATAATGTGAGGGGAAATCAGTTAGAAGGAAGTATATATTAGAGAGAAAGGGGACAGGGGAAGGCACTAGATTGTAATCACTGAAAAGAGCAAGAGCCTTGGGAGATCACAGCCTCTTGAAGTGCTGGAACCTCTTAATCATACAATTAAGAGTAGAAAAATCTTTTGAAATCTTTCAATACTTCTATTAGAACAATGATCAAACTATCATAAGTTTACAGTCAATAAAATGATAGATGTAAATAGAAAAATGAAGAGTCATATAGGTAGTTGAATAAGTAGTTTAGGTTATCCAATATCCAAAGATTGAAGCAAACAATGCAATCACTGAAGTAAAGATAGGATAAAATAACTTGACAAGATATGAGATACAACTTCTAAGTTTAGATGTGTTGTATCCGAGAAATTTATTAAACGAGAACAAAGAGATAAAACTTTAAGCCAACTTTTTGCTTATTTGATTTTCCAGTCATGTTACAAAAGTTCTAAAGCACAAGGGGATTGGTACAAAATTGAATTGCTACATCCACAAAGAAGTTGTAATTATTCAAGAACATCAGGCATGTAAATTAGTTTCTACCTGGAACAGAAATATACAACAAGAAAACAGACACATTTTGTCCTTATGATACAACAAAGCAAGCAAATATATTGATCTTCAAACAGAAGTCTTATATCTATCCAAGTGAACCTTGAACTTTTGTAATACCCTGATAATCTATGGAAAATCACAAACGACATCTCGTGCAACACTCAGATTCAACACTACAAGTCACTAAATTTTGCCTCTAGCTTCTCCGAGCAAACATGTGTTACCCACAAAAGCACACTAACCAGTCGACTACAGCCCTAATAATTAGACAGCCTGCACCTTCAAATCCCAGTCATTTATATGCTTTTTGAAACGCCCAAATCCCATCATCAGAAAAAAGAACATTCTGGACCCAAAAAGAATCTACTTAATTGCAAAAGAGTAACCCAAAGTAAGACAAGAAAAAGCTCCGTCTATGATTAGCAAGTCATCAACAATCTAAAAACCTAAAAATAACTAACATCTAAAAACAGCTAACTTAACTTATAGTACCTATATTATGGCGTAATTGCTCATCAAGTAAACAATGTTGAGCACCTCTACTTTTCATCTTCTATATAAATTTGACTTCAATACTTCCCACATTAAAGACCTTTCATACTTGATAAATGATAAAAAAGTGGAAGCCAAAATTGTGCTTTTCTGCAGTGAAGTGATTGCTTGATAAGATAGACTCATGATATTCTCACCTCAACATCCCAAACACATAGAATTAACTTTTCTTACAATGTTCTGGTTAATGGTTATTTAGGGGAATTTTACATAGCCTTAATAAATAACCAAACAATAGCATTGGCAACCAATGATAAATATAAAGGTGGATAAACATAACCAAATAACGTAATCTGAAATGATTAAATAAGCTAATAGTAATTTATATGTAGTCAAATACAGATATTGTAGTTCTGCAGTTCATATGTGTTCTATTAGAAGCATTTTTCTACCTAAAAGTGAAAAAAACAAGCATCATTTATCAAATAGGAACACAGGAAGGTTACCACTGAATATAAATCTTTGTTGGACATAGTAATAGCCAAGAAACTAAGCTAGTCTGACCGGAATATGACTATATGAGAACAAGACAAACCTGAAAAGTATCCCGTATCAAGGCATAATCTAAGCCATCGTCCAGTTCTTTGGCAAACAAGATTCTCCTCCTCAAGCCATCAACTCTTGTGAGAAATATGTCTACATACTGAAATTAAAGTAAACCCATAACTTAACAGCATTCATGGTCATATCTCAAATGTATTTGACAAATGTAATGCACCCACAGACAACAATCTATATAACCTATGATTGAGAAGACATTAAATAAGAACCTTTTCTCTTTCAAGGACATTGAATGCTCATTTTACAATCCATATGAACATCGTAGCAAAACATCCACTTTTACTTATGCAAAATGCTTCCATAGACAGTTGACATAAGAAAACGGTGGTAGTGTTTGCCAACATATTAAATGGTTATACAACAAGGATATAGAGAAAGGGAGAAGTATTTTATACCTCATCTATGGTAGAAAATGTGCATAGCAGAGATCTCTCAAAAACCTGAATTGGGTGAAAATTAGGTACCAGTACTGCAATAATGATAACAACTCGTAACATAATTTGTTTAACCTCGAAGTTATATTACACTCCTCAACCAACATTACACAATGCAACTAAATAATAAAAAATCATAATTGCTTTTATAAAGAAAACATAAGTTTTCTGTGCTACCTTATCATGTGCAGACATTTTGGTAAAAAGAATGTATGAGAAGTGAACAATTAAAGAAATTTAAAGTGATCCTGAAGTATCACAAATCATGGAACATTTTTTAATAGCTTACATAGAATTGAATTAAGTAAATTAGGTTCAAATTTAAGAATTAAAAACAGCAAGATAAAAGATAATTAGTACGAACATTAACCTTTGCCCATGTTCTTTACACCACCACAGACAATTGAATATCCAGTTCAATCATCACATGTTATGTTTTGGCACAGACCTGCTTAGTAGCGTATGATAAATATAAAAGGTTTCTTTGGACTGTTATGTGCGTGTTTTTAGCTAGGGCCTAGATAGGTCTTTTGCAGTCTTTTCCAATTATATATAAGAATAATAAAATAATATTTAACAAAATTTGCAAAAATAAGTTTGAGGAAGAGAAAGGGTCTGCATACAGCTTACCCCAATACCCTATTTCTAGGTGGGATATGAGAGGGTTTTTTAGGGCTTAGGGGAAAAACAAGGTAGATCGATCAAAGGTTATGCGAGTCGATGCTTATACCCATCACCAACTTGTTAAGTTCATGAAACAAGCACAATCAAACTGCTTCTTGTCAATTTTTGTTTTCTTGAGTGTGACTAGACCTTTTCAGTAATTCATTTATAAAAAAAATAAAGACCTTATCACTCAACAGTAGTTTGTACTTCATATAGAAAAAGAACCAATGGCAGAAACATACATCAGAAAGCTCTTTCTCAGAACAACGACATCGTTCAAGGTATAGCATGAACTGAACCCATAGTTCTCCAACCCAGGGACAGTTCCTAGTTGCCCTGTTAAAAATATCCCTCAAAGTTTTGTCTGCCTAGCAATGAAAAGATACAAGATCATTAAAGTTTAGATAATTACAATAAAAGCACCAAAAGAGAAAAAAATCAACTAAAACCTTTAGGGTCTTATTGAGGTAGTGGGTATAATCAATCCAGAGATCACTGGATATAGGAAATTCAGTAATTGCACGTTCATACAAGCTTTTAACTCGAGCAGGATCTCCACAGGACTGTTCGAATTTCAAATAAGCCTGCAATAACAAGACAAATATCATCAACCTTACAGCAGTATACATGTGCCTCACTGGTTGCAGAATATCTTACAGAAATATGAACAGAGTATACTAAAGGGCTGCTTACCAAACAGTCATCGGGTAAGCTCTTACCGGTAAGGGTCACCACTCTCACTTACCTTAATGGGTAAGATTCTCGGCCATCAAAATGGCATAGTAGGCGATAATCTTACCCGGTAACCGTGAACCAGGTAAGAGTCACCACCCTCACTTACCGGGTAAGATTGTCAGTCCTTGTCATGCCTCTTACAAGGTAAGATTCTCGATCCTTGCCATGATTACCCGGTAAGGTAAGTGCCCGGTAAGCATATACCCAGTTAGCGTTTGGTAAAGGGACCCCTAAGTCACACTGGCGCACCATGAAACTTTGAAGCCGCTCTGTATCAGCCATGTCATTTTTTACAATTTTTTCTTCAAAATCAGCACGCATACTCAACATCTCTATAGCCTTCTGATATGCGGAAGCAACATTGGCGGAAATTCCTTCTGTACTGCTACTACTGACGTCAAGAGTGTTCCCATGTTCAGCCTCCCAAGCCTTATAGGTGAGAAGAGTTGACATCAGGTCTCGATGAGGAATCGACAAGTGTCGATGAAATATATTTCGAATCCTTTGGACCTGCTTTTCCCGCGACTGTAACCAACATTAAAGCAACCTGAGATATAAAAACGCAAGATAGGCATAGAAACTACAGAAATATTTATAGTGCAAAAAATATGATAACAAATGACCAACATATGGATTACACATTAACTCAGACCTAGTACTGCTAGAGGTAATATGTACAAGTAAATACAACTGAGCCTAAAAAATAATGGAAGGAAAAAGACTTCAGGTTTGGCAAATGTTGGACCCGAATTACTGCTTCAACCTTTTCTCCACTTGCCCTCCCTCCAAAACTAAACAAAAGCAGAATATGGGAGTTCAAACTTTCTATATAAGAAGTTGATCCCATGTTTGTAAAACCATAATTAAAAAGAAAGAAAAATCAAAAACAGCAACAACTAAAAAGCATCCATAACCTGCAGAAAGAGAATTGTCAACCCAAGTTCATACCTCAAAGTCCATCGTATCCATGCTATTAAGGACGGCTTCCTCATAACTTTTGTATGCTTCCCATAATTTACTGCCTTCAGCAACATGCAAACCACATGCGATAAGAGCACGCTCAAACAGGTCCCTTGCCTTTGAGATCCCAGTGGGTGAACATTCACGGACAGAAGAATCATATTTTTGAATGAAATTCAGATAGTCATACCACAGAGAAACGGACTGCAAAAAGCAATCAATCATTTTAGTTCTCATGAAAGAAAATTAACTATGCAAGATGCAAGTCAATATGAGTCAGAAGAGAATTTCATAGCCATGACATAACGACTTCAGTTCATTCATCAATAGAAAGATGAATTAAAACATTTTATTCCTTTGCTTATTCGAAAACTACAGAATTGGTACTTCTTTCTGAAGGAAAGGATCTGCTCAAAAAAAACCAAATCCATGATTGTTTTACCATTAAATTAACAACATTGACATGCCTAGATACAACATAGATATGTCTATCATGTCAATGCAACATAAATATCTATGAACTTGATAAACCAACAGCAAGAATGCTTTATGTATCCCAAAATTCTAAGAAATGCTATTTTAATCTAGATATTTCCAAGTTCTCTAATATGCATCTTTACATGATTATATATAACTATAAGAAATTCTAATATACTGATAGCTACAACACAAAAAGTTACCAATATCCAATAAATTTCCACTCCATAAGTTCCATGTTTAAAAAGATTCCAAAGTCACCAATTTCGTCCTCCAGTTTAAAGAAATAAAAATACTATTAGTAGACAAAAACACATCCATGTTGATAGTAATAATTCCTAACCAAGTAAAGGAACAAGAGGTCATAACCAAAAAGTTACTAAAATACCAACTATAATAGGAATAAGCAAAACATAACATCAGAATGTTGGAAAGAAGCTAGGAAAAAATGTTATACTATACAGGAAATAAATTCTGGATTAAGATCTGTTAAATTGTAGTGTACAGCAATAGTTTCTTACCTGATCAAATGTTCTCAAAATAAGGCCATTTATTATGTAGGGTTAAGTGAAGCTTAAAAGAAAACCAGTAAGCATAAATTCCAGCTCAACAAGTGATAATACCAACTACCAAGTGTTCATGGCTCTACATTTCATAAGCAATCTAGGTCAAAACAATATATATTTACCACATATCTGCTGATGTGTTGCATCTCTTCATCCATCAACTATTTCAATTTGTAGTGGAATATGGTGTTTCCACAATTTCTGCATTTGTGTTCATGCATTTACTTTGCAAAATAGACTCAACTTGGTGGGTC